GTTGTACCACGACAACGCCCCGCCTGAAGAGGCCGATGAAAGGCAGGCATTTTGAGTTGACAGAGGGGATCCAAGCAGCATGCACCGCGGCTCTCAAGGCTATTCCGGAGAATGCCTTCCGTGATGCCTTCAATGCTTGGAAATCGCGCTGGCAGCGCTGCATCGACGCAGAAGGAGCCTATTTTGAAAGTTTTTAAAGAATTGTAACGATTGGCTCAATAAATTTTTTTAAATCGACTCAGTCCTGTTACTTTCCGGACAAACCCTGTAGGTAGGTGGTAAAAAACTAAAAGACTTACAGTCATGAAGCCATAGCAAAGAATATAACCAGTCCACGTCCTCGCAAAGCTAACCAAAAACAGTCCAGTAGTCATTAGTGTAGCTCCTAGGAACGATATCTTCCTGTATCCGTATCTGTTCAACAGTGGACCGTTGATAAGACCTGTCAGCATTCCTAATGCAGCGTTCATACTTAGCACTACAGATCCTTGCGTAGCGCTTAACCCTAAATGGCTGAAAGAGCTTCTGAAAACTAACCCATAGTTCAGCGACATTGGAACTGCAATAAACTGAAACAAGTCGTGATGGTCATTCAGTACTTCCAGGCAAAGCCTAAAAAATATCAACACAAGTAGTAGGTTCACATATTCGAACGGAAGTTTATTTTGATGAATCGAATAGTGCAAATGCGCTTCATAGAAGGTATTTTTCAAGACAACAATCTATTTCCTAGACCATCCTAAGAGATTGTTCTTGAATGTTTGCGAACATGCTATCTGTTTGGCAACAATCTAAAATCATCATTTTTTAGTACTCCAGCAAAAAGTATTTAATAATAATAATGATAATAATGTGCCTTTATTCATCTTTGCATACACAAAATAAAACAAAAGAATAATAACTTGCAAACCGATAAATTGAAAGGTCGAGTGTTACCCTAGGGTATTTTTCAACTCAACCTTAAATATAAAATTGTATCTATATCATGAACAAATCTAAGGAAAAACCCAATAATAAAGATAAACATAAGTAGTAACCTAGTGCCTAAGAGAAGGAACTAACAATAAAAAAAATGTTGTGAGTTTCAGCTCATCTTTCTCAATGACACATAGAATTAAAAGTCTTTTGTTTGCTGGTGCAGCTATCAACATCCTAGGTAACCAAAAAATATTTTGTATCAACAATTAGTCGAACAAGAATGAAGAGAGACAAGTAGAAAAGTAGTGGGCGTAAACAGAGTCGGCATATAGGATCCTTCACACTTCAGACAAATACAAATTCTTTAGCTTTTTCTTAAAGTTCAATAAAGAAAAGTCATAAAATCATTTTGGAGACAATTGGCTGCGTTATATGAAAAGCTGCGTTTAAAGGTTGATGTTGAGTGAGGTGGTATAACGATCATTCGCCTATTTCTAGTATGTAATGAATTGATTTTTCAAACTTTGAAATTTTATCTAAAAGGTATTCCGGCTTTTTGTTCACGAGAACTTTGGATCAGTGATAGGAAATGCAATTTTCTCAATCTATTTAAACTTAGAATGTTTGTTGTTTGAATATATGGCTTATGTTATCAAACTTTCTTATACAAAAGAGAATCGCAGGTACGAATTTTATACTCGCTGTAATTTTAAACAATCATTTTTTAAAAGAGCAGGGCCATATATGCTGTCACAGTAAGATAGGCGCTGAGGATATAATTGCTTTAGCATACTATGGGCTGGGAGGACATTTTATTGGCATGGACACTAAATCGAAGATCTGTATCAAAACCACAATCCCAAATTATTGCTCTCACTCACTACAGGTAATGGTATGTTATTAATGTTCAGATTAAACGAACGCTCAGAAATCATACGTTTTTGTTTAGAGCCAAACAGCATTGCCTTTGATTTATTGGCATTAAGGTTTAGATTATGTGCAATTGATATATTGCATAACATATTAATATCGTCGTTAATCATGGAGTACGAGTTTAAAATATGATCAATCTGAAAACTGAAGTACAATTGTGTTCATCCGAATAGTGATGTATTTGACCAGTTTTTACGTAGTTATGAAAGTCTGAAATATATACAGAAAATAATAAGGGCTTAATATGGATCCTTGTGGTACACCCATTGTATGTACTGGTACCTCCTAGTTAAGTAGTGCCTTATTAAATTTACCGCATTATCTGCAAATCCAAAGTACTTCTGTTTCATGCACAATATATTCTGATCTAAGTATAAAATGCTTTACTGAAGTCCAAGAGAATTAAACACGTATATTACCTTTGACAAATGATTTGCTCAAGTATACATGGCAAAAGATTTTTTCGACCTATTTTAATGTCTATTAATGTGACCGGCAGGAATTTGGAAAGAGACAAGTTTATTGACATTGTGTATATTTTCCTACAAGACGTCAACTTGGAACTAGCTGGCGTTTACTCCATGCTCACTTGTGTTTAGCGCTGGATGAACTATATATGATATCTTATAGGTTTTTTTACGTAAGAACCCTGCCGCATGGGTATTACGTATCTTGAAAAGTGGGATTATGTCGGTTTTTTTTGATATTATAGGTTTTTTTGATATTATGTAAATTATTCTACAATATGTCAACTTAGAACTAACTGTTGTTCTCTTGTGCACTCATGTAGCTGTACGGGTTGCCTAAACCTATCATGGTTTGGCTCTGATGTGTAACATCTGCTTTCGAGATGGCATTATTGGAGATCTAAGATGTAAGTTGTATACTATAGCTGGAAGGAAACGGCAGTGCATAGTGCATAGTGACGATTTGAGTGCTAATAGTCTGTTTTGATGATAATTCCATTGGTTTCTTGTCTCAAATACACTTGCGCGCTGAAAATTAGGTGCTCATCCATTTTTTTTATTCCTCCTGGAAATTACATATGCAAATTTGTTAATTTAAAAAATGAGAGAGATTAGGAAAGGAAGTCCCTGGTTGGTGAAGTATAATACAACTAACAGGAGAGAAAATAGGCTACAGACAGGAATATTATGGAACGTAAAACGATTATTACATTTACATTATTTTTTATTTCTAGTCATTTAAATTTTATAGAAATTAATTTTGCGATGTCAATAGAAAATACAAATCAGCGCCTGAATGCGAGGTACTGCGGAAGTGTTTTGTGTGTGATACGGCAAGTACTAATTGTTATATGATGTGGCGATTCGAGATACTGCGAAAGTGTTTTGTGTGTGATACGGTAATTCCTAATTGTCTATGATGTGGCTTAATTACATACAGCGCGGGAGCGTCAGCGATTTCCCTTAATGGTTCTCAAGGTTTTGAATATCAAAAAAAACTGGGGAAACCTTAATTTATCACTTGAACATAACCTCTCTTCACAATGTTCAACACAAATAACCCGTCTGACACAGCTAATACATATACTCCATGAGCAGCATATTCAGCAATAATTTTCTCACATAGCAAATATCACTGATTTTATACAGATACAGACCAATACACACAATCATTCAGACGCGATCTTGCTACTCAACCATATTCTTTCTGTCGCATCTTTTATAAATATACTCTAGAAACTATCTCGGCATTCTGCAGCCAACAAAACGTGCTGGAAACTGAGCCGTTCCTCTATAGATGACGCTATTGCATAGTAGAAACTATCTAGTCAGCAAGTTGACATTTTGTTTTTTGACAATATATAGGTTTTTCACGTAATAACCCTGCAGATAGTTGCTACACCAGCTTCTCCCCCCCTCTCTCTCTCTCAAATCACTACGTTAAACTATCCAAGCAAAATATGTGAATTAGTTGAGAAATCTGCTAAAAAATACTGATACTGCCCCTGCAATATTGAAACAAAGTAAATTTTCAGAAATCTCCAAAGGATAAAATAGTTCCGGAGATAAAATTTTTGTTCCATATATGAAACGTCAGCACTAAATATTCGATATATGTTTTTTATATATCACATTTGTTTTGGTTTGTATTTATTTAGAAAAAGTTTTCTATGCTTGAAATAAGTTCAGTTGTTGTAAAATGGTTTTATTGTTTATTGTTTTCATTTAAACAATCTATTCATGAGTGAAACAGCATTTCCCATTCAGGTACCCAATTTAAATAAAGTATGGGCAAATTAAAAATTAATCTTTTGCGTAACTCCTTCAACAAATCCAGGGTTACATTTTTCCAAATATGTAAGAAAATGTAGTTCAAAAAGATGATAGGCACTGTTATATGGGATTCATAGCTTTCAGGGCTTTCGAAAAAAAACCTTTTCGATTTTGTATTTTAAACAACTTTCACGGTTCGTTACTGTTTGTGAATAGCACATTGCAAATTTTAAAAAAATCATCTCATGGGCCTGTCGTGAAACACAGAACATGTTGATTATGGCGAACAGTTGTAAATAACATATCAATCAGAAACTTACATTATTCAAGGCTGTAGCTAAAACAATAATCCAAACCATACCCACCGTCGGGTGGTACAAACACCGTCTTAACCATGACTTTAGCAAAAAATCACTCCATGCAAGATAATATTAAGGAATATCTATATTGAAAAAGTGCAATGTCGATCCATCGTAGAGAAACAGGCAAATCGAACGTTGATGCTTTAACATCTCGACGACTCAAGCTGTACTGATAAGAGTTTAGTTTGTTTTTATATCTATACCGCTGATAACGTTAATCAAACATCATGGCACATGAGTTAAGTTTTTATAATTATTTTGTAACTATGCTCTTGTCTAATAATTGTTAATGGAAAGTAGATTTCCTAAGGGACAGTAAAATAGAATTTTTATTATTTGAGCAGTTACGTGAATCAATAATGTACTCGATTTAGGAAAGGATAAATCCATAATTTTTACAGATTATGAATATATTAAAAAACCGCTGATATCAATACTAATCCAGGAAATAAAAATCTAAATGCGTTTCATAGTAACAAACCCGTTATTTGTAAAAAAACCGTACATTGGTTCTCAAGAGAGATCATTTATGTAAAATTAACTGCCAAAAATGCAAAATCTGGGGTATAAGTTTAGCGTGACATATAAGGTCTTTTCTATTCTCCCATAAAAGCTAAGCTTTTAGAATCAAAGGAGAGTGACTCATTGTATCGAATGTATTTGTGAAGTCCCAAGAGAAGTAATGTGGTAACTGAATGTTGGTCCAACGCTCTGACGATATTATTAGTAACATCGAGGTACTTGTCGTACGACGCTCTTTCCGAAACCCACATTGTTTTTCGGTAGAATCCCATTTCTATATATATATTCATTTATTTGAATGAACATAGCTTTTTCCAATAATTTTAAAAGTGTTAGATAAAATACTTATGGGCCGGAAGTCTGTATATGAGTTTGGAATGGTAATTTCGATCAGAGCCTCTTTTCATGAATTGGGAAAAAAAATACTTCTTTCTAAGCAATAATTTATTATAAGCAGGACGTATAGAGAGATTGCGAGGTATCATAATTTCACCATGCTGAGGTATACCATCGTTTACAAGGCATTCGATTCCGTAAATGTAATAATGAAGATAGGTCTGAATATGATGGCTTAAAACTAAACTTATGATTTAAATAGCGATGTTTTTCATAATGTTGAATTTTTCATTTGCAGGTGTGAGTATTTTCATCAAAAACTGAACAAAAACAGTCGTTTATTTCTGTTGGATATTTTAAGTACAGCGAGATTCTATTATTTCTCAAATTTTGCATACGCATTGATTTCAGGCTTTGTCAAGGCAGTTAACTCGTTCTGATCCTGTATAAATGATATAAGCTCGTTTTTCAGTTCTAATTTTAGCAGTGTTGCATTATGCAGTTGTTCATATTTATTCCTAGATTCTTAAGTTTTGTTAATTTTGAATTCAGTTGTAGATTTGTTCTATTTTATCATAAGCTTAAGATATGAAGCTAAACAAGGGGCAGCCGGCTTCTTAACCCGTACAATTTAATGGTGCATGCTATCGAAGATATACTTGACTCCATCAGTTAGATCAGGCATCTTCCTCATTGATGTCATGAAAGTTAAATATACTGTCTCAAGGATAGATTAGAGAGGTCGTTTTGAAAGTAAGGCACACTAAAATTTGTATAGTCTCTATATGTAACAAATTTTGGTTTGCTTTAGAAATAAAGTTGTCTCGTAGAAAACAAACTAAGATCTGCAAATAGATCCATGTTTATAGTGCCAGCATTTCAGAAGATTTTGGAATCACTCAGATAGACTATTTGAATTTTTAGTGATCCTAGATGCTTGAACCCATATCCACTCGTGTAATTTATTGTTTTTATTAAACGGATAACATTGATGTCTCCTAAAATGATTATATAGTCAGAGATGCATGAAATAAGGAAATGATAATGCATTTTCAAACTACTCAACAGTTTTTTTCAGATTAGTGTGCGGACGACGATATACTACCCAGCACCACGCTTAAACCAATTATCTTTACTTTGATCAAAAACTTTCTATCCCAGAAAGAAATGCTCCTCCACGTTTAACTCTTCACAAACAAATTCATTATCTACATACAGGGTGTTAGGGAAATAATATTCGTACTTTAAGAGGTGATTTCTTACATGATTCTAAGCAAAAAAGTTCATTATACTTATGATCGAAAATCAGTCGTTTTCGAGGAAAGTAAGTGGTAAATAATTAAATTTTCTCAAACATTTGGCAACGCTGCAACGCAAAAGCGATACGAGCGCACAACGACCGCAACTGATTCATGGAATTGTTTACGTTTGAATCATATTTTTGTTGAAAATATCCCTTGAATTATGAATACTTTTACGTATTTTTTGTGGCTAATATTTTTTATTTAAACGCTTTCAGTACAGTACATTTATTAAAAAAATGACAGAACTTACCGGTACGTGGCGATACACCACCATTCCCACGATTCTCAGTCACCTTATTTGACACGATGCGATGTATGAAAAAGAAAAAAAAAACAACATCCGTAATCACATAAAGTTACAGATAAATGTTTTACAATAGATGTTCAAATGGGAAACATGGGCATCTATGCAAGCCAGACACCGTCGAACCCAATTTTATCTAACTCGTTGAAAAATTCCTGGCATAATACGTATTTCATTAGCGGTGGCCAAATACGCTCCCTTAAATCATTCTCATCCCTTATTCAGAGTGTGTAAACTAAATTTTTCATGAATCCTCAGAAGAAA